AACCCTAACCCTAACCCTAACCCCTACCTCTTGCTGGCGGGCGGCTGCCGGCTGGTCCTCCGGAGGGACTGGCTGGGCTGGATTTTCATGGAGGCGCGTGGGGAGCAGCGGGAGAACTGCTCCGGGGGCGGCGGCTTCTTCGGGATCTTCTTCAGCAGCCGGCTCACCCACTGCTGCTGCTCCTCCTGGGACCCGGCCAGAAGCAGGAGGTTCTTCGCCGTGGACACGTCGTAGTTCACTGGGGGGAGAAAGGAAAAGAAAAGAAAAGAAAAGAACAGTCAGTAAGGTGGTTAAAGTAGAGCTGCTTAAGTACTGGACTTAAGTACCAAAATGCAGTATCTGGACTTTATTGGAGGATATATTTTTCCCCCTACTTTTACTTTTACTCCACTACATATTTTTGAATATTTGAATACTTTTACTCCACTACATAATTTTGATTAATTTAATACTTTTAATTTTACTCCACTACATATTTTTGATTAATTGAATACTTTTACTCCACTACATATTTTTGATTAATTGAATACTTTTACTTTACTACATATTTTTGATTAATTGAATACTTTTACTCCACTACATATTTTTGATTAATTGAATACTTTTACTTTTACTCCACTGCATATTTTTTATTAATTTAATACTTTTACTCCATTACAATTTTTACATTTTTAAATACTTTTACTTTTACTCCACTACATATTTTTGATTAATTGAATACTTTTATTTTTACTCCACTACATATTTTTGATTAATTTAATACTTTTTACTCCAATACAATTTTTACATTTTTGGAATACTTTTAATTTTACTCCACTACAATTTTTAAATTTTTGAATACTTTTACTCCACTACATAATTTTGATTAATTTGTGGGGGGTAGAGGTACGGATTAGGATTAGGATAGGAGATGTTCAAAAATAAACAGCCATGTTTTCCCCCCCTTGCAGGACGCGATGATCTCCTCCTTCTTGTCCATGTGGTTAGGGTTAGGGTTATGGTTAGTGTCAGGGTTAGGGTTAGGGTTAGGGTTAGGATAGGAGTGTTTCCCACCCTTGCAGGGCGCGATGATCTCCTCTTTCTTGTCCATGTGGTTATGGTTATGGTTATGGTTATGGTTATGGTTATGGTTAGGGTTATGGTTATGGTTATGGTTAGGGTTAGGGTTAGGATAGGGGATGTTAAAGAAGAAACAGCCAGGTTTTCCCACCCTTGCAGGGCACGATGATCTCCTCCTTCTTGTCCATGTGGTTATGGTTATGGTTAGGGTTATGGTTATGGTTATGGTTAGGGTTATGGTTATGGTTAGGGTTAGGGTCAGGGTTAGGGTTAGGGTAGGAGTGTTTCCCACCCTTGCAGGGCGCGATGATCTCCTCCTTCTTGTCCATGTGGTTATGGTTATGGTTATGGTTATGGTTATGGTTATGGTCAGGGTTAGGGTTAGGGTTAGGG